AGAGTAATATTTTTGGATTTGTGTGTGTTTTGGTAATTATATTCTGTTTCAGTGGGAAAAAAAACATGACACGTGGTAGTGCAGATGGGGCAACTTACCATTATCAAGCTTAAACAACTTGAGACATTGTAGATGGCAGATCAAAGCAAACCTTGAAAATCTTCTTAATAATATTAGACCTAAAACTGAGCCTCTTGCATGTTTAGAATCTGAATCTCAAACTAATTAATTATTTCACACGAGTTAAGAAAACTAGTTAAAATTAATTATTTTATTTCTATAAAACCTCAAAATTACCCATTGATCAAATTAACTGGTTAATTAGAAGAAATTGTTTACTTAATTATTAGGAAGTTTTATAGTTAATTAGCGATATTAAGTGAAAAAAGTTATTGTCTCCAATGATTATTATAAGTGCCTAATAATAACTTTATATAAATTAATGAAGTTGAATAAAATTAGTTATTTCTTGTCAAATACTACCTTTGGTTCTAATTATAAGAGCTAGTTGACTAATTTGAGGAGATTAAGAAAATAAGTTAAGTTAGTTATTTGTAATAAATAGGTGTTGTCTTTTCTAAAATATCCTTATTAATCAAATTTATTGGCTAGAACTACTATTATTAGAGGGACTACTTTGGAAAAAAAAAATACACAAATACAGGAGACAAAGTGGATTAGGGTCTTATAATTAGGACCAAAATAAAAGTCAAACGAGGTCTTATATTAAGGACTAGAGGTAGTATCAAAATTATCCTCGACAAAAATCATTAATTAGAGAAGTGTGGTTAATTAGTTAGGATGTTTTACAATTAATTAATACTAAGCGAAAAAAATTAATGATTTAAACAAAATATATCATATTATGAATGATGCTGGAGATTTTGAGTTCGGATTAGTTTAATAACAATAATGATGCAAGTTGAATGAAAGCCAAGTGGGAGCATTCTTTAGTACTTTTTGTTTCTGTAGTCCAAACACATTCATTCGTCAGGCAATTGACACTCATTTGGAATTATCCCTCAAAGAATCTTCTTCATCACAAGATACTGTTCTTGCTGTAAACATGATTTTATTATTATTATTATATGATAGGGAAATAATAGTTAGGTTCCAAATAATTAATTTAACTACAATTTGGTCTCAAAATAATTTTTTACAACAAAGATTTTTTATTTGTAACTTTATAGAATATAATTTACAATTACTTTGCCATAACCACAAATTGCAGCTAGGGATTGCTTTGTGACCTAACTATAATTAACTCATGCACTTGCCCTTTCCATATCTTTAATTTGGTCACTATTAAATTAGCATAAGACTCTTATTAATACTCGTTTTCCTTCAAAGCTAGGAAGTCGAGAGTGAATATTTTTGTTTATGACTTATAAAGTTACGAATAACATAACTTATTACTTACTCTGATCTTAAATGTATCGATGAAATAGTTGGTTTTACCTACGAAGAAGACTTATCAGGTCAAATTTCTTACATTCGTTATATTAAGTTTTATAATCACACATAGTCATGATTGGAGAATATGATGGATATAAAAATCTTGATTGAAGTATTGTCCTGTACATATATATAAATTAATTAAATTAGTTATTTGTAATAAATGTATACTTATTTTCCTAATATAACTTTTTAATCACTATCCTCATTACATTGATGAAAACCTCCTTTAGTATATGCAATCAATAAGTATAATTTGAAATAAAATTATAAATTTGGGAGATAAACTATAGGTTATAAATACTAATGATTTAGAGAAATTATTTATGGTGTGAAAATTGAAACTTTTTTTATATGGTTATCTGACGGGGTCTAATTCGGATATTATTAAGTCCATCCGAGGATAAATTTTTCAAAAAGATTGACGAATTCAAACTTAAAATCTCGCGTTTAAACGGTCAAAACCCGACTATCACAGCGCTGATAGCTCAATTAACCAATAGTGCCGTCTATGAATTTTATATCAAAAATTCCTCTAATTGGTTTGTTGAATTAAAAGGAAGACGTTGTGCGCACCAATAAATCACACACACACACACATCAGGTATTTTTGAAATCATATCTTCTTTTCTTTTCTTTTCTTTTTTCGGCCTGATACGATTATCCATTTTCTTGTTCAATATACTCTATATATATATATATATATATATATATATGATGTGTCCTTCTAGAACATTTATCTCCACTATTAATTTACTCGTATTCTAAACGCAAAAGCTATTAAGTTTTTGAAGCTCTCTGAAGCATCAAGTGCCGGGTGAATAGAATAATAATTACATATATATATATATGTATTCTTATAAATATTCAATCAACTTTCAGCATTTATTTGGAAATCTTTTACAATCCACTTGCCAAGTAAAAAATAATATCATATTAGTGAAAGTACGGTACTAATTTATCTTTTTGCCTTTAACTTGTCTAAAAATATTATTAACCATCGCCATCAACATTTACCAATCCCATTATAATTATATTGTTGATAGATATCTTTTTCCCCGGAGCACAGATATTACAGACTGATTTTTTTTTTCAATTTTTAAAGGAGAAAATATATTCCAAAAATCCAAGACAAAAAGTTCAACAAATTACATATATTATATTATATTAATTTCTTTTAAGAATTTTAGTTATTTTTCCAATATTTTTTTAATGATATCCACAAGCTTTTAAAATACACATTGGATTCTAACTAATTAAATTGAGTCTGATTAGACCATATGAGTGTAAATTTTTTTTAAGTAGAAAACTGTATTCCATTAATTCAAAAGAGAATTACAAACAAAAACCCTTGTAGGCACCTAATTCCCCCACCTCTTGACAATAAGGTCGAGTATCATCAAGGAAAAATTCAATTCAGTTACAACTTTACTAATAGGCTTTGACCCTAGTCAAAAGGGTTTTGAATGCTTAAGTATTACGTCTCAATTCAAGTTTGTGAAAATGCAAAAAACAAAAACCTTTGAAAGAGCTACCTCCAATTGAGTTCAACAATGCTCAAATATGATCTGATTAAGATAACTGTATAAAAAAGAAAAAACCACAATTTTCTCCATATACAAAACTTGAATTGGATACCCACTTGAAAGAACAAGTTCAAAACCACTTAATACAAATTGTCATTGATATTTTTTCAATGTAAATACCATCAAAATACCACGCTATATGTGATTTGTGGATAAATTAGATCACCTGGAATTTAATATTATTATTAATATGGATAAGAACACCCACCATGCACGCCTATTTCTGCATTTTTATTTACCTTGCCAAATTGAGGCATGAACTTTGTCACAATTCACAGCAAACCCATATCATTGGTCTATTAAGGAGAAAAAGAGCACTAATTTCAAACTTAAGAAGAGGAGAAAAAGTAAAGAACGGATGAGGTTAGTTCATAGGTCACAATCAATCAATAATGTACAAACCATGAAAAATCATTGGTAGTTAGTCTCCCATTTGCTTTTTGATCGTATCATTCATTCTTATTATCATATTATATACTAAAGAAAGAAAGAAAGAACAACAGTAGAAAGTATGGGTATCACTAAATGTCCAATGTACATGCACTTTGATAACTGAGATATTTTGTCTGTTTCAGTGGAACTCCACTTGGTGGTGGTGAAGGATCAAAGAGATGAGCACTTTGAGTTTTGTTAATTAAGTTGAAGTAAATCTTGCAATTTTCTAATACACTTTGATGTGGCTTTCTAATTTTGCAAAGAGTTGTAATCCAGAGTAATCACTTTCTTTAAGTCAAAAGTTACAAATATAACAACCAATGAGGGTTGATATAGGTGATAAGGACCAATGCCTTACAACATGTTTGGTTCGATTCTAGGAAAGAGAATCATATATAATCCTGATACAAATAACTGTGTCATATGTTGTATTTCTACAATGGAAAAAGGATTACATTTTGGTTGGTTGAATTCTTTGATGTTGATATTAGTAGATAACTAGATACCTTTCATTCTTTTACCATAAAAAATACTATTACAATGAATACTACCTCCTGACCTTAATATAAAAACTAAACAAGAGGTAATTCTTATGGATTGCTAAATTTATAAATTTCTTACTAAAATATTTCTATTGATTGCACATGTTAAGTGATTCTATCAAGAGGTAATTCTAATATATATGATTAGGTTATTATAGGAAAGTAAACACCCATTTATTTTATATAACCAACTTAACTAATTTTCTTAATATTTTTAAATCAGTTACCCGTATCTAACTCTTATATTAGAACCAGAGGTAGTATTATTTTATAATTGCTTGACGACACATTTGCAGATAATGATTCATAATTATGAGTCAATATCACAGTATACTATATCTCATCTCCCCAATAATTCCAATCAGAGCTATCAGAAGGAGTAGACTATAAACAATTTAAGGCACTAATCAATATAGATTAAATTAACATTAAATGAGCTCTTTAGATCCTGAATAAACAAATCAAGAAGGGGAAAACTTGGAGTCCAAAATCAATCAGCCGTTGAAACCAGAAATGATTGTCATAACAGGGGGAAAAACAGGCTGCTAAATGATCCTTCATTATCTAGCTTTAGAATCTCTTACACATTTCCCACATAACTGCTGAAGTCAATTACCTGAATCCAAAATTACAACTGGTAAGTAAGAAGGAAGCAACTCGTTTCATGCCATAATTTGAAGTTCTTATGGTCTAAAGATTACGCAGAACAAAAGTAGCTATGCCATTAATGCAAAACTGTACTGGCACTACTATACCTCTTGAAATCTCCGTTTCAGAAATCAATATTTGGAAACATACAAGAATTAATTGTTCCAAAAAAATTTCTTTTATATCATAATAACTGCTCGTCATGCCAAAATCGCTTCAGTGTCCACGGATTTTACACAGCTGCCAGACCACCTGTCATGGTTTACCCCATAGAACGCACATGAACTTGTAATTTAAGCTAAAAACTGCATGATATATCTGCAAAACTATCGACTCTTTACACTAAACACAATTATGTAATATAGTATTCTAATCACAAGTTGATTTCCTTGACACAAGAAGTCCTTGTTAAATGGGGATGGCAAGCAGAGTATTTATAAGTAAAGCATGTAATGAAACAGGAAGAGTGGCGCAGAACCCCTTGGTATATCTGTGTATGTGTATGCTCCCTCTATCATGCTTCAAGAGCTAATCAAGTCTCTGAACTTGCATATTCCGCGTCGATCTTCTACAAAAGAATCACGGATAGATTTCAACATTGTACGCACAGCAGGAAAGTGAGTCAATTCTTCACGCTTCTCCTGCAAAAGTAGTTCAATTAAGATTTGACCCCAGAAGGAGGCCTCCAGATCCATAACCTAATTACTCAAAGCAGCATAAAAGCAAAAGAGAATACCACATCAGTAAGCCTTTCTTCAAAGGACCTAGCATTTGCATACGAGGGCATGAATATCTTTCGATAAGCTGTTCTAAGGCCTCTGATCTAGAATGTTGCGTGAGAATTATTAGTTGCAAAATAAGATCTAATTTAAATTGAAATTAAATGAATTTAACATTTTATCAGAAAGGACCTCTGCATTGCTGAATCCACGTCGAGTAAGGCCCACTACATTTAGACCACGAAGTTCAGCTCTTTCTCCAGACACCATCATGTATCTGGGGACATCTTGTGAAACCTTCATTTATGCAACTACAAGACATTATAGCTGCGGCAACTCGTTTGGCATAAACTAACTGTAGAAGTTTGTTGCTCAACAAGTTATTCAATAAAGGCCTCCTAGTATTAGCAATTTAATGCAAAGTGGACATAATCCTTATGTGCAAGACTCCGTCTACAGAGACTGGCACTACTATAAATTTCAGCTATTATAATGGCATATTACATTCCAAAACTAAGGAAAAAACCCTTTTTAGCATAATAGTGACTCAAAGCCAGCAGACCGAGGGGATGACCTTACCACAGAACCACCACCAAGAAAAGAGTAGGAGCCAACATGGCAGAATTGGTGAACGACGACAGCACCTGCAGTGTGAATATAGTCCTACATTTTGAAAAGTTCAGATTAATTTTACAATCATACATGCTAAAAAAAATTGCATGAATTTCTCTTCCTTAAAACAAAAATCATTTGTTTGAAAAGGGCATACCTCAACTACGACATGCCCAGCTAGAAGAGTATTATTTGCAAAAATATTGTCGTTACCAATTATGCAATCATGAGCAATATGACAAGATCCCATGATGAGATTGTTATTCCCAATAACCTGATCATACTGCCCCAGTTAGAGTATTAAAAACTACATACACACACACATAAACAAATGGGCAATCTTCTTACGGTCCTATCAGTTGACTTTGAAGATCGGTGGATTGAAGTATGTTCCCTAATATCATTGTTGTCACCAACTTCCAGGAAACATTCATCCTCTGGCTAAATAGCAGTATAATTAGGAGCATTAATTATGACCCAAAAGAACAACAAAGAGAGATGAATTACATGACCATGCTACACATGAAATATGTACATGTAATATAATTCAGCCCGTTCATAGTTTGATAAAGAGGTCATTAGCTATCTGGCTTAAAGAGTTACAGCATATAGCAGGACATTCTAATTGCTAAGTACATTTGCGGGTTAGCAAGTGGTCTTTAGGCATGTGACATCGAAAATAAGCATCCACAAAAAATCACTATTTTAGACATCTGTTTGTTAGGATCTCTACTTCATAGTTTTCCGTTACAGGTCTACCGTGCCTTGTGAGGTTCTTAGACACAATCTCCTGTTGCATGAGTCTTCCATGGTGGTTTATGTCTTTACTCTCAGTTAGAACTAACTAGGGTATGCCAAGTGATTAGTTGTCTATATACTTTAAGAAAATATCCAAAAAGCCTAGAATAATAGAGGTTATAACATTCATGATGAGAATGCCACTCTACTAGTCATTTCATGTTATGCATTAATTTAGTCCCAACTCCCAACGGCATGAATATAACTATGATAACATGATTTCTATTTCAACAATCAGAACCCAAAGGGTAAATTGACATAGAGTGAGTGCTGTCAATAAGATAAATCACGACACACAGACAGAGTCCCTTAATGTGAATAGCAACTGATAAGGTACCTTATATTTCAAGTCTTGACATTTCACACCAATTACAGCATGATACCCTATTATATTATTTCTTCCGATGATGGTACATCCAGGAAGATCGTCACCAACAACTGCACCGCTGCCAAATATATTTCCCCAAATATGTGATCAAATGATGGTCCAATAGAAATTATTCCAAGCAGAAAGCAGAAAATTTGGAAAGTATGAAAGTCCTAGGTCTGAACTCACGTCATCAAAGTACAGTTGTTTCCCAATTCAGTACTTCCAAAAATATGGCTTCCTGGATATAGCTTACAAAAATTGCCAAGCTTTGCGGAGGAACTCACAGAACAAAAAGGTCCTACGGAAACCCCCTAAGCATAACAGCACAGCAGGAGACCAATCACTAGAAAACATTAGGCATAATAGCAGGAGATCAATCACTAGAAAAGACTAAGCAGTGCAAAATATGTTTGATGAGCTCAAAAGGACAAAAGGCTGCATTAATACTCGAAGACTCCATTACATGTACAGTATTCCACACCACATTATGTACATAAATGTCCCTCTTCTTTTTTCTTCCTCAAATTGCAAAATCTTTGCTGCATATCAAGCAAGCCAAAATTACCCGAGTTGACAGCTCTTAAAGGAACAGTAAACTCAACACTAATTCTCACTGAAACGAGCAACAATAAGAGTGTTATCTATAGAAGAGTTCTGAGTTCCAGCCACAATCACAGTCCCACCAGCACCGTACATTATCCACTCAAAACAGAAACAGAAAGAGACACGATATGTAGACGTATGTTCTCAGCCTAGAGCTACCTCACAAGACCCTATGCAATCCTAGTGAAACAAAGAATACCGACAGGAAGAAAAACCGAGATAGTGAATATGTGAAGTGAAGAATTCAGCTTGAAGAAATTACCTCGCCAATGATGGCATCGGGATGAACAATCGAACTGGGGTGAATTAAGCTTGAAGTCCCTCTATCTGAAGCTTCCATCCTCTTATTCTGGGCAGCATCTAAGGGATGATAGACAAAACTTACAGTCAAGATCGGTCAAAAGAAAATTAGAAAGGAAAAGAATGTACAAATTCAAACAAGAAAGGAGATAGAGAGAAGATTACATGAGAAGCAGCGACAGTATAAGAGCGAGCTTTGGCGGGTTGATAAATAGGGCCCGCGAAGTTTGAGAAGATATTCAAACATGTTCGTGTGCGGCCTCGTCTTCCCTGAGCTTCCACCTCACAACTCACAAAATGCAATCTATCTTCAAAACCAAACTCACCCGAATACAAATGTCATATGCCTGAAACTACCCAGCAAAAGTACAAATGCGATTTACCTCACAACTCACAAAAGGGAATTGCTCTTAGACAGCACTTTGATCTATGCCATATATACTCGCAGAAGGGATTCTAGTGTTTGAGTCGATACAAGCAAGACATTGGATTGAAAATTTGAATTCACGCAGGTTCCAGATAGAATCAGGTTTTGCTGAGGGGTTAACACTTGACAACGATTACCGGGGCAGCAATTAGAAAGCAGTTTGGGAGCGACGCACAAGCTCTTGTGCTTAGCACAAAAAAGTTTATTATAACAGTGGTTTATAATAAATACTGCTCCTGTCCTTCATATAAGATCCATTTAAGTAATTTGATTAGATTAAAGAAGTTAGGTAAGTTAGTTAATTATAAGAAAAGTGACACGTTTTTCTTAAAACACCATAATCATCTTTCTTAATACCCCTCTCTCTCCTACTTGATTATGGTTGAGGGAGTATCCATAGGGGTAATTTAGAGAAATTGATAAATATGAGAAATTGGTCTTATATTTAGGACCAAAACCAACTCAAGAATTGGATCTTATATTAAGGACCGGAAGAGTAGTTATGATTTGTATTAAAATATTTTTACTAATCATATATATTAGTTAAATTATTATTTTATAAATTATTTTAAAAACAATAAATATAAAAAATAAAATAAATATTTAAAACTAAATTAAATATCAAATTAATTTTTTAAGTCCTAATATTTAGGATTTATATATCTGAAGCGCCCATGACATCGTACGAACGAATATTTAGGTGTGCACCGTACTGCACACCCTTTTTTTGTGTTTTTTTTTTTTTGGTTTTTACCAGAACGAGTATATTTGCTCGCAATGGCAATGGCGCCGACCCTATTTAAATACAACTTAGCATTCAGAATATGAACAATTGCATAGGAGTCCGTTTGGTATGATTGAATTTAGGAGCATGGAAATGAAAATGAAAATAGAAATGGGAGAAATGTGTGTTTGGAAGCATGAAGTTGGAAAATTTTCCAATTCTATTTTCACCAAAAATACATGGAATTAAATTCCATGTCATACCTTAGTGCCTTGTTTGCTATAATGGAAGAGATTTTCGTGAGTTTTTGTTATGTGGGTTTCTTTCTAGTTTCGCAACGGGAATCCACGCAAGAAGTAGTCTTGTCTTTAAATGTATGAGTGTGTTTATTTTGAACTTCTTGTATCTTTTGTTTTTTAATGTATAATTGATCATTTTATTAAAAAAAAAAAAAGATGATAGCCATTCTGTGCCATATATATTGATATCCTTTTGCAAAGTTACTAGTCACCTAATAATTTTTGGTGGGTTATGTATAGGGGTGGAAATAGGCCAGGCGGCCTGTCAGGGGCCTGTGGCCTGGCCTGTAAATGGCCTGGCCTGATCTGGCCTGTTTAGATATCAGACCAGGCTCAGGCCTGTAAAAAGGCCTGTTTACGTTATCAGGCCAGGCTCAGGCCTGATAGTAAGCCTGTTAGGCCTGTCAGGCGGCCTGGGCCTGTTATCTTTTTTTTTTTTAAGGTTAAAATTGTAAATTGATAGGAGAGAATCTGCTATTCTAATTAGTTAATTGAGAAAACTCCATCCACATAAACATGTTATCTAGAGCCCGTTGCATGCTTCATTTCATTTCCATTCTCTATAATAAAAATAATTAATGTATGTATAATGACACATATTTAAACAGAGAAAGAAAACATAAGTGCATTAAAAAAAAAATAAAAGTATCATTCATTTATTTGATCCATGCTTTTCATATTAATCTTATATAGAATATATATATATATATATATATATAGAATTGACCTATTATGTTTTAGACCGTATATATGTGTGCTCAATCTAATTTTTATTATAATAGTTACTTAATTAATTTAAATAAATAAATAAATTATAATAACTGTAAAAAAATTTTTAAAAACAACTATGTGTACCAACAGGATCAAATATTATTTTGTTAGTAAATTAGTTTGAATAAATGATAAATTTAAAATATAAAAGGGATTAAGGATGTTTCATATTTTAAACTAGATCTAGTCATCAACTAATGTTTATGCTAGAGATGAGATGAAATGATATTTTTATATTAGAGTGAAATTATGTTTTCTAATAATTTTTCATATTAGATTTTTTTTTTTGGGCCTAAGGGGACATGTTTTACAAATTGTGTTAATTCGATAATTTCATATTTTTTGTTTGTATTTTAGATTAATTAGGTTGAATTATTGTAATTTTGAATTGATTTATGTGTGTTTAAAATTTGATAAAAAAACAGGCCTCTTAACAGGCCACAGGCTAGGCCAGGCCTGATTACAGGCCAGGCTCAGGCCGATTAAAAGGCCTTTCACAGGCCACAGGCCAGGCTCAGGCCAACAGGCCTCACCACAGGCCAGGCCTGTTAAGGGTGAGGCCTGGCCTGGCCTGGCCTGTTTCCACCCCTAGTTATGTATAAGTAAACCCACCAGATTGTAACATAATTTTGAATAGTAAGAGTATTCAATTTGTCCCAATCTAATTCTAATCAATTTGGGATAAGACAAAATCAAAATTTTGAAACAGATCAAGTATGTGACAAGATAAAACAATAACTGGGATGGGACAGGGTCGTCCCATCCCATCTCAGGTTTTTTCTTAAAAAAATTATTTGTTAATAGTTTTTATTAAATTATTCAATTTTTTTTAAGAATAACTATTTTTATAGTGATTTTCAGCTTTTGAGTTGTAATATTATCTTAATAAAATTTCCTTCCTCAATAAAATAATTTATAATAGATGCTATTATATATTATTTCTTTTATGGTAGTTCTTTTTTTTATATAGTATTGTTTTTATTTCTTTTTTAATTATATAATTCGGCTTTCTATATAGTTTTTTTTTAGTATTTTTGTCTTTAGAAAACCCAATGAAAAACAAGTATTACAACATTAAAAAAAATACAGGCCCGAATTATATTAATTTTTAAAAAAACAAAATTAAAATGGGACATCCTGTCCCATCTTGATCCTAACAGGACCAGGATGGCCTCGAAACGGGACGAGACACTGAAAATCTCGCCCTGTGAACAAAGAAGTCACTATAGTTTGGTGGTATTGTGGTGGCTTTGAGGATTTAGAAATCACCCATGTTAGTTGACCTTTGTTTTTTTGTCTTTGGTCTATAATTACTTTTTCCCCCCCTCTTTTTATTACTACTTGCTTTTTAGTTTGCAGCAGACGTTTTAGTTCTGGTAAGTTAATCACGCCAGTTGCAACCTGACTGCTCAACTCAACTTATAAGCATGTATGTGGATTAGCAGTAGTAAAACTTATTTTTATTTTATTTGAGTATTAAAAAAATTAGTTAGGGTAAAAGTTAGTTAACATGATGTGATTTATATTTATATTGACTTTTATAAAAAAAGTCAATTTAACAAATTGAAACTTATTTGGATGAGTAAAAAAAATAAATATGAAATAATTAAAAAAGACACAAACTTTATTATACATATAAATAATGTATATAATTTGATAAATTTAACAAAGAAAAACATTTCATTAGATATATTTATGCCATGTTTGGATGGAGAGAAAATGAAGGAGGAAGGAAAACTAAGAAGGAAAATGGTAGGAGAAGTGGTTTTTTCCTTGTTTGGACGAGGGAAGAAAAGTGGGAGGGAAGAAAAGTTAGGAAGAAAATGAGGTGGGTCTCATAGTGAGGTGGGTCTCATAGCCTATTTTCCTCCCAATTTTTCTCTCATATATGAAGAGAAAATGAGAAGAAATCATATTTTTCCTCTTTACCCTTACATTTTTTTAGCAAAATAATACCTATTTATTTTTTTCATTTTTTCACTTTATTTATTATTATTAAGTCTCTCTTCTGTGTTTTCTTGATTGAAAAATAAAATAACTAAAATTGCAAAAATCCTTCTAAAATGAACTGAAAGGAAAAACAAGTAGAGTTGTTGTTTTGGTTTTTTAAGCATTATATTACACAAAATGTTTTTTTCTTTTTTTACAAAATTATTTGATATTAAAATATAATAACATGATAATATATCTTTATCTAATAATTTGATTTTAAATTATATGATTATGTTAATGTAAATATGGTTTTTAATTATGATATTTAATTTGATTTTAATCAAGATATATTTTGATATAACAGAAAGGGTATTTTAGTCATTCATATATTTACTCATTTTCTTTCCTTTCTGTTTTTTCTTGTCTATCCAAACATGAGAAGTGATAATATTTTTTGTTCACTTTTCTCTTCTCTCCATTTTTTCTCCTCTCATTTTCTTTCTCCTTAACTTTTCTTCTGATCCAGATAAAGGGTTAATGTAACTTAAAGTATTTAGTAGTACACATCATAAAATATTTTTTTAAATACATTCAACATCCTAGTTAAGTTATATTCAGGTATATCCAACATCCTAAAATATTTTTTTAGATGCATTCAATACTCTAAATTATTTTTTGATGCATCCAGTACCTTAAATTAGTAAAGGTAAAACTACACTAAACAATATTTTAGGGTATTAGATGTACCTAAAATATTTAGAGTATTAGATATACCACTAGATATTTTAAGATGCCGAATATATTTTAAAAACAACTTCGGGATGCTGAATATATACCATAACTCTTTAAATAAATAATGCAAAGTAGGTCCTATTTTGTCTTTTTATCACTGCTTGTTTTTCTCTCCACATTATGAACCAACTTTTTTTCATAACGCACAAAAATTTAGCTTCAGACCCAACATGCGTTGAGGCTCAGAAGTTCTTTTGAAAAAAACGCTATGCCAAACATACGCATATTACCTTATTATCCAAAACGCCATAGTTCCCGTTTTACCAGGCACGTTTGCAATCCTCATCCGAGATCCAAACACGCTGTAAGTGACTTCATCTTTCAATCCCCACTATGTGATTCTGGGCTCTGTTTCATTACTTGCATGAGTTCAGATGTCATGAGACGTTGGGTTACGTTAATGCTGAATGACTTCCAAAATGTGTTGGAGCTTACAAAGAAGTTGCCCATGGAGGTGGAATGGTTGGTGCGGGGAGAGGTGTATGGTTTGGGATGTCTCACAATTACTGACTGGATCCGGACAGTTTTGATTTCTGTTGTCTGTAATCCTAAGCTTTTACTTTCCTGTATGCTTTAGTTAGACCTTCGTCATATAAAAGGGCTTTACAGGTTGCTTGTTAACTTTGAAGTTA